AAAAAAAAAAAAAATTCTTTAATCAACCGAAAAACGAAAAAAAAAAAAAATTTCTTTTATTGAAAAATCAAACGAAAAAAAAATTTCTTTATAAAATCAACGAAAAAAAAAAAATCCTTATTAAACGAAAAACTTTTTTTGAAAAAAAAAATCATGCCTCGCCAAATTACAAAACGTGCAAGAACCGTCGAATCTCGTAAAAAGGATCTTTTGATTGATAATAATATTCAACCTCCGCCCGTAATTAAGGTCCCATGCCCCCCTATCGTTACCTGTGACGATTTTGTTCGTAACAGACCAAAAGCCAAAGTGGACATTAAAAGTCCAAACTCTTTCTTCGTGTATAGAACAGCCTTCGTCAAACAATTGTTGTCTGAAAATCACAAATTTAAAATGACTCAAGTTTCCAAGTGGGCTAGTATTTACTGGCGAAAAGAAAGTGATAAAACGAAAATGGCATATAAAGATATGGCACAAATAATTGATAAGGAATTTCAAGAGAGAAGAAAAAAAATTAAAGGTTATGAAATCGTTTGCGAAAATCATTTATATTCAAAGCCTGAAGAAGTAAAACAAGTAAAACAGGAAGAAGATATCAAAGAAACCATCATCCAAAAACAACCAATTAAAAAAGATCAGATGCCACTCGAATTAATAAATTGGCACCAACAACAACGACAACAACGACAACAAAAGCAACATCGACAACAACAGCAACAACAGTTGCAACGACAACAGCAGCCGCAACAACAATTACTACAATTACAACAGTCGGAACAATCACAACAGACACAACAGCTACAACAGCTACAACAACAACATTTTCATCAGCAGCAGCCACAACAACAATCGCAACCACAACTACAAAATTATTCAGAATGTATTGATTTTTCCGCCGTTTCTCCTAAATCCACATCATCTACTTATAGTCCAATTTGTCCAGCGAGTCCAGCGAGTCCAATTAGTCCTTTCATTAAAGACGAGTTTTCTCTTTCCGAATTTCCATCTATTAATGAAAATTTTTACGAATACATTCCACTCGAAAATAGTATTTCTCCTATTTGTGACTTCAACGAAAAATTTATTTGGATATCGAACGATAGCAATCCTGAATATTATAACGCCCCTATTTACGTAGAACCCACTTTTAATGAATATTTACCACAGTATTACTATGAATCTGAAAAATAAACTTTTCTTCCGTAATCACAATATCACAACTATCACAACACATTTTAAGTTAAATAGTCCATAAGGTAATTAAGTTTTTCCGAAAAAAAAAAAGAAAAGAAAAAGAAAAAGAAAAAGTCATCCATCACACGTTTGAAATTTGTGATTCCAATTTATTTGTGAAGTTCTTTATTAAATTGATTATTGAAGCTGGTCACTGTCAATGGTTGAAAACCTAACGAGTCAAGCAGGTCACTGTCAATGGGCCCACGCCTAAGTACTAACAAAAGTTGGTATGATGAAGTAATAAAGTTCGGCATACGGTGTTTGATCTTCGGATGAAGATTTCAATCGGCACACGGAGCTAAAGTTAATTTACTAAAGAATGAAACGAATGAATTAGTTTTACAATTTCTCAACAACGTATCAAATCATGAAAAACTCTAAGTATTCCTTAAATCAACATTTATTACGCTAAAAATACATATATATATACTGATACAAAAAAAATTTACTAAGTAGGAGATAAGTAAAAAAAAAAAAAAAAAAAAAAAAAAAGAAGTTAATTTTTAATAATAATTTTTTTCAATCTATTTTTTCTCTTAGAATTAATAATAATATATCTTACGTAATTTGTAACTTATTTTAATAAACAATTTGTGTAAATAATAAAAATCATTTTTCGTATAATGGGATATGATGATCTTATAATTTTGTTTTTTTATTATTATTGGTGTAATGGATAAAAGTCTAGATTGTATAAAAAAAAAATTATATACCGGTATTTTACTAATATTTTTGATAATTATATATCTTTTTTATTTTCAATGAAAATATTTTTGTTCTTTTCATTATAATAATAATCCATCGGTTTAAGTCTTATTGTGGCATTTAATTCGTTATTATATAAAAAACCTTTAAAAGTAAAATTATAATGATAGATCATTTATAGTAATAGATTCTCATTTTAAGGAATGTTCATTAACCGATTATATTGCGACAATATACTTAGAAAAGAAATAATTTCACATTTATATGAATGAAATTCTTTTTTTAAATTTTTCATTGTGACACTAATACGAATCATACGAATCAATTGAATCAACTATGGTCTCGACCTTTTCTAAACTCTTTGCAAAATTATAATTCCTTTTGGAAACATTGTAATTAAAAGATTATTGATGTATGTTTAAATTTAAATAACGAATAACGAAATACTTAAAATACAATTGTAATAACATATATTAGGAAAAGTTTTGACATTTATGTGCGACAAATTTAATCGATCTATTGAAATCCCGAACCGATCATTAATAGTTATCATGGAATATATGGTGATAATTATTAAAATTATATAAAATATGCCATCACACTGCAACCGTAATTGATTAAGGAGCAAAACTTTCAATGAAACACTTTAAATCATAATTATATGCATATCAAAGAGATTAGCTAACCTAATTTATAAGTTCCCGTAACAATCATTTGGCTGAATTTGAAATTCATACATCATTTGCCTTATTTATTTTATTGATAAATTTATCCCGAGTTTTCTAAATATAGTCACTTTATATTAAGCATATCTAGCTATCAAAATCAATTTCCAAATAAAGTATTAAAAATTTAAGGTCATAATTTTTGATACTATTGATTTCATTGATTTATAATTCTTAAAATCGTAGATATCTCACATGATTTGGATTTTTTTTTGAAAAAAATATATTTTCTTCAAAAAAAAAAAAAAAAA